TTTGAAAACACATTGTTGTCTCTGTCCTGATTTGTCACAATTGAAACTTTTGGAAAGAACCTTCTTCCCTCCCTCGCGGTTGGTTCACTGTGCCGCTCCACACTCCGGATCTCAAAGCAAGTCCACATGTGATCACAGACAAGCTCTTTTTTTTTTTTTTTTTAATTTTTATTTTTATTTATTTTTTTTTCTTTTATTATTCATATGTGCATACAAGGCTTGGTTTATTTCTCCCCCCTGCCCCCACCCCCTCCCTTACCACCCACTCCACCCCCTCCCGCTCCCCCCCTCAATACCCAGCAGAAACTATTTTGCCCTTATCTCTAATTTTGTTGTAGAGAGAGTATAAGCAATAATAGGAAGGAACAAGGGGTTTTGCTGGTTGAGATAAGGATAGCTATACAGGGCATTGACTCACATTGATTTCCTGTGCGTGGGTGTTACCTTCTAGGTTAATTCTTTTTAATCTAACCTTTTCTCTAGTTCCTGGTCTCCTTTTCCTATTGGCCTCAGTTGCTTTAAGGTATCTGCTTTGCTCTTTAGGTGTGCCAACTTACAGTTTCAAAAGTGACTCTTGGCAAATAAATCACTAACCTCACTGAGCCTGAGTTTCTTTATTTGTGAAGAGTAAAAAAATTACACAGATACTGCATTCCTTACAGGGCAGTTTTAAGGAAAATTGATAAATGTGAAAAACTACTTCTTTTAAAAATAACTTTGCAATCTAAGTGCTCTTTCTTTATCCAACATATATTGATTTTTATAGAAATGCAAATTATCTACCAAGTGTCAAATTTAGGTCTTGGCTTGTTCACTAAATTATTTTCAAACAATCAGAAAATTTGTCTTTCTCTTTATCAGAAGGTCAAAAATTATGTGCATCTTTGTTTAGTTTATGTATTTCACACTAAAAAAAAATAAGTAGTTTAGAGTAGTGTTTAAATCCTAATTGCTGCAGACTAAAATGCTGTATAGTTAAGGTCTGTGATCTTCATGTAGTTTAAAAGTTTAAAGTAATCATCTATCAATAAAGTGCTATGTTATTAATTATTTGTATTATTCGTAGGGTAATTTCATTCCATGCCCCCAAAACAATCCAATGAAGAAACTGAGGCATGACACTAAGGCATATTCATTTGCTCATTTATTCATTCTACAGATATTTTCTAAACACCTACCAATTACCAGGTTTGGAAGTAGTGGTAAAACCTATGAGAACTGAAGTTCTGATTGACTCTTCCTTCCATTCTGTACAATCAAAAGAGGGCGCACTACCACTCCTACTTTCTACTTTCACAACACAGCTTTCTGTACCAGGGATGACCTACTTCACCACAAGTGATATAAGGCCCATGTATCTACCACTAGCCATTCTGACATCAATATTGTGGAATGGTAGCAGCTCCTCTGTCCTTAGCCTCTTCCCAAGCCCTCTTTTCCTTCTGTTGACAAAGATCATAGTATTGATGCGTACTGTCCTAGGCTGTGTGCACAGCATAGAAGCATTCTCCCCAGCCAGAGCAAACACATCTGTCCCTGGCACCATCTCTTCCAACCCTCTCCTACCAATAAAAGAATTATATAAAGCAGTGTGTTCTTTGAAGACACATTAGTGTTAGGGGCTATCTGAGACCTGTGGAGTTCAGAGAAGAGGTCCAGATTGAAGACAAATTTAAGAGAATGTAGGATGATTAAATTCCTTGTACTTGATGAGATTACCTAAGGAAAAGAGTATAGGTGAAGACTTAAGGACTAGTTGGGTGCAGTGTCACATGCCTGCCGTCCCAAGCTTGATCAAAAAACTTGTGCGATTCTGTCTCAATGGAAAAAGCTAGGTGTGGTGGCATGCAACTATCATCCCCGTGACAGTGGGAAGCTTAAAGTAGGAGGATCGAAATCAAGGGTCACCTGTGAAAAATGTGAGACCCTAGCTGAAATGAGTATGATACCTTATGACATTTATAAAAGTTCTTAATGCAGAACACTGGCTCCCTTGCTGATGCATCTGATTTGGGAGGTCTCAAACTTGCCCCAGGAACTTCTATATTTACAAGCGCTACCAAGGATGATTCTATTAGACAATGGAAAACCCTAACGAAAAGCAGAGGTTCACAGAACCCCTGGTGTCAAGCAACAATGGTGTCTCAGGCTAAAAGCAATGCCCAAATGTTCCATTTATTAAATGGATACATCAAACTTATTTTTTAAAGTCTAACTTTATTTTTATTTTTTTTCTTTTATTATTCATATGTGCATACAAGGCTTGGGTCATTTCTCCCCCCTGCCCCCACCTCCTCCCTTACCACCCACTCCGCCCCCTCCCTCTCCCCCCACCCCCTCAATATCCAGCAGAAACTATTTTGCCCTTATTTCTAATTTTGTTGTAGAGAGAGTATAAGCAATAATAGGAAGGAACAAGGTTTTTTGCTGGTTGAGATAAGGATAGGTATACAGGGAGTTGACTCACATTGATTTCCTGTGCGTGTGTGTTACCTTCTATGTTAATTCTTTTTGATCTAACCTTTTCTTTAGTTCCTGGTCCCCTTTTCCTATTGGCCTCAGTTGCTTTTAAGGTATCTGCTTTAGTTTCTCTGCGTCAAGGGCAACAAATGCTAGCTAATTTTTTAGGTGTCTTACCTATCCTCACCCCTCCCTTGTGTGCTCTCGCTTTTATCAGATACATCAAACTTCTTAGTTGTAGTTGTTAACACAGTCCAACAGATGTCACTCTGTTTCGCTCAACAAAATTAAAATAATGCACAGGACCCCTAGAAATTTCCTAAGGAACCCAAGGGCACAGAACCACATGGTTCCTGAGCTATAGCTTAAAGGGAACGTTTTCCAGGCAGGACATTAAAAAAAAAAAAATGTGTACAAGCCTTCTAGAGCAAGACTGCAGCATAATGGAGAGTGTGGTTCCATACATTTCATCACTTCTTACATCTTTGTTGATGTTTTAATGGCTATTATTGTTTATGAACAAGCTTACCAAACGTTTTTCTACAAAGAGGCAGAGAGCAAAGATTGTCTATTACATATTCTTTTCTCTTGTAGCCCTTTAAACATGCAAAAAAAACCCATCATTTGACCCACAAGCTCTAACTGGCCAACCACTGTGTTGTAGTTAAACCCCTATAGTATAACATTACATTGCAATTCACAGAGGGTGATTCTGCAAGGTTGGGAACTCTCAGTGTTTTCATATCTTTTTTGCTTCAGGGAAGACTGCAGAAAATACACCTTATCAAAGAATGGTGGAAGGGCCTACTTGCGTTCAAAGGTATTATACACAGAGTTCTGTCCTGGAATTTGCTTGCTCAAACCTTAATTTAAGAAGAATTTGCAAGCAATTCCAGTTTAATATAGTATCCATTTTAAATTTTTAAGGAGACTAGTTATTGCACTGAGTTTTATCACCTCCTTGCTAATTACTGTAAATGCCTAATGAAATCCATAATATGACTAAGAAGGCAAGGCAATCCTTAGTTTACACTAGATTCAATAAATAACTTGATAGATTGTACCATTTGAGATTTCTAGCTCTTTGAAAATTAGTGTTGTTTTCTTGAAACAATACATCATGCTTAGTCCTTAGATTTTGTGTCAGCTATTTAAGAAAATTCAGTATAACAAGTCTGATCCTTCCTATCTATTCATAAAGGAAATAAATATCATTAGCAGTAGTGGTCTTCAGAAAACCAGAAGATTCCAATCCTTATTTAAAAACACATAAGTACCATATCGATTCTTCCAAACTACCATCTCCTGTGGACTCTAGCAGAAAATGTTTATTTCCCGAAACTTTCCAAGATCGTTTGTGTCAATGCGCCTCTGCTGTGTTGACACGAGCACCCTGGAATCATCACGGGTCACATTTTTGTAGCACCCTGGAATCATCACGGGTCACATTTTTGTAATCAAATTTATTCATGAGACAATGTGGTTTATTCTTTTTCTCCCATAAAGACTGTAATATTTCACAAGAGCAGAGACAGCGTCTGTTTTCCTAACCATTCTATCCTCAAGCCCACAGAATAGTGCCTAATTTAACAAATATTTGTGTCTTTATGAATTAAAGACAATTACATCCAATCAGAATCATCCAATGGAAAACATCAAGCATTGAATGACTAATAGACTTAGGTTATCAGTTCCAGCTCCAAGCATTAGTTTTTCCTGGATCGTTAGAAACATCCGTTTAATCGTTCAGCGTGTATTTCCTCCTCCGTGTAATTGGGATATTTTTTTGCCCCGTCTACTGAGATGCAGCTACAGTCACGTGGGAGGGTGCGTTCATTTGCTTTGCAAAAGGAGAGCACCGTTTTCCGTGTAGCCAGCCCCGGCTGCTCTGGGCAGCTACCGAGGTATGTCCGCGTCACCCCGTTAGATAAGGAGCCCACCCTCCTGGTGTCCTCTGCAATCCCTGTCCCTGTGTCACGCGGCCGCCGTCCTGAGGACGCCCTCGGGTGACATGAGCTGAGGTGCTGCAGGGTGGAGCCAGCTGGCGGCGGCAGAGGCAGAAAGCGCTCGGGAGAGCAACGGCTCGCTGGCTGAGGCCCAGGCCCCACCCGAGTCCGCGGCACCCAGCTCTAGGTCAGTTCGAACGTGACCTTGTTTGGGCGTTGCTAGGAGACCCGGCTCCCGCGCGCCCCCACGTGGCCAACTCCGGTGCAGCGCACGAGAAGGGGGCGTGGCCGCGGCAGGCGCGAGGAGCAGCCGGGTGAGCACCGTTCGGGCGGCCTGGCGCCCGCCCGGCGCGCCCCGCCATCCCCCGCCACCATCCAAGCCTCTCTGGTGCTGGGGACCTGGGTATCAACGCGCCTGTCTGGCATCTGAAAGACGCCAAGTCGGACGAGGGGAGGACAGCGAGTCAGGCGAGCTGTCGCGGGAGGGGGGTGGTTCTAGGGCGGCGACGCCCCGTTGATAGCCGGTTAGCGGGGAAGAATGTGTTGGCGTCCTGCTGCGGGGAAGGTGAGTCGGGCCACAGGTCGGACCGTTAGTGCCCGAGGGGCCGGCGCTGCACGGCGAGCACCCTCGGGCCAGCTGGCGAAGGGTTAAGGCGGCGGCGGTGGCTGCGGGGCCCGGATGTGAGGGCCGTGGCTCTACGCGGTCGGCCGCGCTGCAGGTGCGCCCGGGCGGGCGGAGCCAAGGGGCGGGGGCGGGGGCGGCAGCCCGGCAGCCCGAGGCGCCCCTCCCTTGCTGGGGCTGCTCTGTTTCTTCCGAGAGCCCCGTGTTTTCTAACTTCGGGCAACAGGTGGTGCCGGTGGACCGAGGGAGAACCCTGCTCTGTCGCCCTGGGAGCGGCACTTACCCTGGCCAATTAGGGCGCGGGGGCGGGAATCGCATTGCTGCCCTGACGAGCGTGACCAATGGGATGTGGGATCGGGGGTGGGCCGTGAGGAGTGGGCGTGGCCGGAGCCCGAGTCCAGGGTTGGTGGTGCAACCTCAGCCACAGCGGCTTGGAGAGCTAAGCTGGGCGCAGGAGGGGTGCTTTGCCCCCGCGCAGAGACGCCTGCCAATGTTATCTCGATTGGACCCGGACTCCAGCGCGGGAGGTGAGAACATTTGTATGGCGGAGGGAGTGTGGGTGATAGTGGTCACGGGTATGCTGGTGAACATGCGATTAGATCCCCAACAAAAGGGCACTTCTGTGGTTACGGCGACTTGGGCCAGATATTGGTGACTGGGTTGTCTTCAGAATGAGGTCTGGAGGTTTGGAGGCCGAGGGGAGCAGAGAAGTGTTACCACAATTTTAGTGACTCAAAGGATTTCAATCACAGTGATGGACATTTGTCTTGGATTGGTGTGTTTGTTTAAAACAAGTTTTATTAAGTTCTTCCTGTTGCTTATTTTACCGAAATTGGGAAAAACTCACTTAAATTGTCTCACAAGAATAACTTTATTTTTTCCCTCTCCAGCAGTCTTGTAGCTTGGATCACGTAGGAAGAGAAATTGTGAAGCAGTAAGAAGAAAGTGTTTCAGTTTGGGGCACTTATTTGCATCTGGCAATGGGGAATGGACTATCAGACCAGACTTCCATCCTGTCCAGCCTGCCGTCGTTTCAGTCCTTCCACATTGTTATTCTAGGTTTGGACTGTGCTGGAAAGACAACTGTCTTATACAGGCTGCAGTTCAATGAATTTGTAAATACTGTACCTACCAAAGGATTTAACACTGAGAAAATTAAGGTAACCTTGGGAAATTCAAAAACAGTCACTTTTCACTTCTGGGATGTAGGTGGTCAGGAGAAATTAAGGCCACTGTGGAAGTCATACACCAGATGCACAGATGGCATCGTGTTTGTGGTGGACTCTGTTGATGTTGAAAGGATGGAAGAAGCCAAAACCGAACTTCATAAAATAACTAGAATATCAGAAAATCAAGGAGTTCCTGTACTTATAGTTGCTAATAAACAAGACCTGAGGAACTCACTGTCTCTTTCAGAAATTGAGAAATTGTTAGCAATGGGTGAACTGAGCTCATCAACTCCTTGGCATTTACAGCCTACCTGTGCAATCATAGGAGATGGACTAAAGGAAGGACTTGAGAAACTACATGATATGATAATTAAAAGAAGAAAAATGTTGCGGCAACAGAGAAAGAAAAGATGAATGTGAATACGTTTGTATCTGTGTGGAATAGGTTTTCTCTGGTCTGATTTGACAAATGAGGAGTGTCTACAGCCTGGTTTGCCTATCTGCCCTCCTGGATGCTATTAAAGCTTTGTTTTGTTGAACAATCAGATGCCCAACTCTTGTTGCCTTGTGGAAGATGAGTGAATGCATTGCTTCTTAAAGTGGTCTCTTCTCCCTATCCCACAAATCTTTTGGTACTACCATTTTGGGAAGCCAAGCAAGGATAGTATATTGACCAGAAAACAGTAGTGGAAATTTGACTTGAAGTTAATGAAATAAAACTTTGAAGAGTGTCTGCCAAGTGTTTTGTGCTTACATCTTTTTTGGGGAAGCCTTTGCAAAGAAATGGCATACAAGGCTTTGTATGTTAAGATAAAATACTAATGAATGGAAATGTTAAGGTTGATTAATATATACATACATATACATACAGTTATATTGATCACACTGGGACAAGGAGGAAGTATTTGCTTTTGTAAGTTTTGGCGAAATGACTTTAGAGATTTTCTGATATCAGTTTACTATCTTTTAATTCTAGACAATAATTGGTTAACTTTAGTAAAAAGGTATTTGGGGTATATTCAAGTGCATGGATTAGTTTTCTTGACAGCATGTTTTGGTGTGTAGTCTTCTTAGAAATAGCTATGCATCTTTCTACACAGGTTTAAAACAACTTTTTTGGGGGAATTAGGGCTATTATAATTTGTTGTCAGAAGCACTTTCACTTGAACCTAAAATAATGTACTTGACTCTCTTGCAGTGAATATGAATATGTAAACTAATATAAATATATATGCTTGGATACATTTATGAAGAAAGCAATTGGTGAGTTAGTCAAGAGGGTGTTATTACAATACATGATCACCAAAATATGCTAGTTAAAACCTGTTCTATTAGTATTTGTTGGCTGAAAACAGATGTGTGTTTTCATATATTTTTGTAGTGGTTTGGGAGGAACAAAAGCTTTATAAACAACACCTAATGCGCTGGAATGAAAATGTAAGGTATCTATAATGTGTTCTGAGCTTTAATTTTTTTGTTTACCTGCTGAACTGTATTACTAAGGGTTGTCCAGCCCTGATTATAGAAAACAATGGTACAGTACTGCAGATAAGAATTAGGATTGCAGAAAATTAAGAGGAAAGTAGCAAAGGTATTTAAGGAAAATTCACTGGTGCTGTTTTTATCATAATAAAAATGAAATGAAACAGAACTATAAGGAGGGAAGACTTTTATCTAATTCTTATCTCCAGGAAAAGACTTGCTTCCAGTAATCATATTAGCAAATCAGTGTATTTCCTATGTGTGAAGCCAACAGCTGTTAGTTCTGAAATTACCAAAAGAAGTGCACTTTGCTAGCAGAGCTTGTTTTGGTTTTGGGTTTTTCATTTTTTTTTCCCCCAGTGACACAGCTGAATTTTTGGAAACTTGATGCTTGTTATACACAAAATGAAGCAGCTTCTTGTGGAGCTTTTCATGTTTCATGTACCTGCACTAGTGATGGTCACTTAGAATGTTTATATTTATAGAAGTGTGGATAATAATTACCAATAAACTACCTGAGTTAGGAGAACAGTGTTTGATTGTATATGTATTTCCACTTCTGTTGAAGCTTTTAATTAGATATGTAAAAACAACTTTGAGCAGCTGGGCTATTTAGTTTTGTAATAGTTTGAATCTCTTGGGTGAGACAGACATGGAAGGCTATTTTCTGAGCCATTTTCTTTGTTTTGTTTGTACCCTTTACTGATAATGAAAGCACAGTCTGCTTGAAGCATCACTAGGTCCATGATGGGATGATAAAATGCCCCGACAGTCTGGATCAATTTAGACTTTCACTCTGCTTATATATACTTCATGCCTACTTGCTACATCAAGTAATGCTATCAGCATTACTTAATTAAGCAGACTTAATGTGATCATCAGATTCATGTTACCCAGGAATTTCATATTTAAGGAGCAAAAATAAATCACATCAACACTGTACAAACTTTTAATTATAAAAGACAATTTTCTACTACAAAATCCATAAAATTTTCTAATTTGCTAAATAAATCCTGAAGAGTTAAGGCAATGCTCTTATATCTATTTTGTTTTTAAATTAAGGTACCCCTTTCCTAAGGCATATTTGTGTTTTTGTAGTGCTGGGGACCAAACCCAGGCCCACATGCATGTGTGACAATCACTGAGCTACATCCATAGTAACTAAAATATATTTTTAAAAATACTATATTTGAAATTATTTGGCTTGATACAAAACACTAATTGATGACTGGAGAACTCTAAATTCAAATCACTATCAAGAGAACAAAGTTAAAAATTTTGATACTAAGAGACTTGAATATCCAGAGTTCTAAAATGGATTACGAATTACATACTTTAACCAACATAGGTTCCCTAATCATGGTAAAATGAACTAAATCCTTATTGGAAGCCAAAAAGTACAGTTATTAGTATAACTATATGTATATAAAAAGCCAAAAAGTAAGTTATTAGTGTGTATATACACACACGTATATATATGATACATATTATATATAAAGAATTTTTATGCTCTAGATGAACAGTAGCTTGTGAAAAGAGAAGGGCACAGGCTTAGGATGTTTTTTGCTTATGGGGAATTCACAGTATAGCCCAGTGGTAGAGTTTGCCTAGCTTGTACGAGGCCCTGGGTTCAATTTCCGGCACTGCAAAAACAAAAAACACAAAAAACAAAACCAGAACACCTATAAGAATGTTTTTGTTTGAACAAGGTATTTGACACTAGGAGGAGTGTTTAATTATTCATAATGACCTTGAAGAAATTGTTGTATTTCAAGGTTCTGTTCAGTACAATTTCATCATTAAACAATGATTTCATTGGCAGTAACAAAAATTCAAGAAAAATTTCCCCAAATTCTAGATGATTTAAAACAGCATTTAGCTAATACAGTTTGGATCTTGAATATACTATCATTTGAGGTTTGACTTTTACTGGTAAGGTTTAAGTTTTGCAGAACATTCTGGAAGTGGATAGTAGTGATGTGGAATACTGAAGTGTTTAAATGAAACTTTCATATGAACCAATATAGGATAGCAAACTAATAATCATAATAAAATATTTGGAGATCAGACACAAAATTCTTAAAAAACCACAGCCACAGTATCCAATTCTATGCATGCAAGTTAAAAATACCTAATAAAAGGCTAGTTTTGGAGAGTAAGTGTACTGGTAAACACAGTATAAGTTTAGCGACAGATCAGTGTTCAAATCCTGGCTCTCCCATGTTACATATGTTACTTTATAGATAGTTCCTTACAATTTGAATGCTGTACTAGTAAAGATTCATGGAGAAGTTTGGGTTGGATGAAGTTAGCACATCATTAAGCATTTAACAAAAACTCAGTAAGTTGCATTAATCAGAAGCAACATGTTTTGAGAGGCAGGATGGTGAAGTTAGTAATGGATGTAGAGATCCATACTTGAATACCAAATCTACTAAAGTTCCATCTTGGTCAGTTTAATATTCTCTGCCTTAGTTTCTTTATTTGTAAATGGAGGATTACACCAAGCATTAGAGTCTATTCAAAGGATCAGTTGAAACAATATTCAGCAAGTGCCTTGCACATAGTAAGTGGATAGTCATTGATAGCCAGAATATTTTCTGGCAAATGTATTTGAAGACTTACTTAGAGGAAGAATATGACAGAAAAAATTTTTTATATGTTTTTCTTAGCACTTTTGTAACAATAGCACAAAAAGGCAGTATGGCAGAACTTAGGAAACTCTAAACATACTGAATTCCCTTGATACCTAGGTCATTTCCTTAGATTTAGAAAACACTGATCTAGTTTACATTTTAGCACAATAAAATATTAACCTTTCTTAAGCAAAATTTTAAAACATGGTTATTTTCTGGTATAGGCATAAAATAATATACCTCGCTTTGCAGAAATTTAAAATATGAATGTACAAATTGTGTTTCTCCAAAATGCCTCAACATTATCAATAATTTACAATTTAATGAGTAAGAATCTGTATGCTGACCCTTCTGTGGAAAATTGACAGTTTGTTGACACATCTGGTAGATTATGGTATATATTTGTACTTGTTATTTTCCAGTTACTTTGAGTTTTTGGTCTTTTTAAGTCTTTTGGTTATGTTTCTTTGGTTGGAGTTGAGATTGCCCATACTGGGCAATATTGAGTTATAAATGAGTAGAAAACCCTTAATTAACAGCCAAAATAAACCCTACTTTATTTCTTGGGCCTTCTTAACCCTGGCAATATGAAAGAAATAAATTAAAGCAGTGGTTAGGTTGGGTGCCAGTGGCTCCTAGCTACTTAGGAGGCAGAGATCAGGAGGATCTTAGTTCAAAGTCAGCCCTGGCAAATAGTTTGGGAGACCCTATCTCTTAAGTATGCAATACAAAAAAGGTCTGGTGGAGTGGCTCAAATGGTAGAGGGCCTGCCTAGCAAGCATGAGGCCCTGAGTTCAAACCCCAGTACCACCACCACCACCACCACCAAAAAAAAAAAGCAGTGCCTAAACAGAAGTATTATCTGGGGTGTTGTCCCATACCCAAGGCAACTTTATTGTATAGTATATTACCATTTCTAGATGATTGGGACTGGTATGAATTATTACACAATGGTTTTCCAAGTGTCTTCCCTGGACTAAAAGCATTAAGCATTATGTAAGAACTTGCTAGAAATGCAAATCTCTATCTCTGCTTATAGACCTAGGAATATGAAACTTGGGCTGGACCCAGCAATGTGTTTTCTCACAATACATCCTGATAATTCTGGTAGTCATTAAAATTGACCACTACATTAAGAGGAAATCTAGGCATTTATTATGCTAAAAAAATTAAGATAGGCTAGAGATATAGCTCAGTGGTAGAGTGCATGCTTGAGTCCCTTAGTTCCATCCCCAGCAAAAAAATAAATCTTTTTAGTAATTACAATACTATCTAGTTCAGACATTTTTTAAGGTACTTTTTCAGAAGCACACTATTATTATGGAAGTGTTCTGTAAAACCTTGCTGAATGAACTTTAACTGATGCCAACAGAAACATGATCACGCTGTGTCATACCTCATTTTTGTATTCATATATACAGATAAAAGAAGTCTTGCTTGTGAGCTGTGCTGAATATCCTAGGTTGAGTGTAGCATTTCAAAATGGGTGATTGGAGAGAGATGTTCAAGTTGAATCATTTCAAGGAAGCTCTTGTTTTAAATAAATGTTAACTTTTTATTATGACAGATTTCAGACTTGAAAGGACAGTAGCATAATTGTGTAAGCCTTTCTG